AAATTGTTGTGTTTGTACATATGTAAATAACTTCGTAGGTAGTTGCGAAAGTTCTAGTGACGTTTTTACTTAACTTTTTGAAAAGAGTAAGCAGATCGCTGAAATAATTTTTCAAAATGGTATCCACGTACGAAAACAAAACAAAACGCTTTCTCCAAACAAATTTTTTTCATTCAATATCTCATTGATTTATCTACACACACTTCAACGAAATAAAATGTAAACATTAAGTATTGGTATTTACAAGTAAGGTTAACAAATAAAAACAAATCTTTAAAACTGAATTATTCATTTAGTAATTTCTATTGGATTAAGTAAAAATTATTGCAACTATCAGTGAAACATTAAGTAGTAAGTAAAAATTAAAAATTTAACAGTTATCTTTGCATATAATTCACTCATCATATCAGTCACAAAATCGCCTGTTTCAGACAATATAGAGTGGGGCCGTCAATTCCTATGTGAAGTGCCAATGAGTGGCTAATGAGAATGCTCACACATAATAGGCTCTTGAAAATCGAAATGCATAAGCGCGGAAAGGTGTATGGTTAAATTAAGTGCGCACAAGTGGCAAAGGTGGCTACGCTGTACGCAATGAATCATCGTTGCATTTGGGTTTTGTTGCAATTACAACAATAATGCCCGCAGCAAATCGCTTAAACGTGATTTAAAAAATTAAATCTTGTGAAGTGTAAAAATGGAGTGTGCTCAACAACTGGTACTCGAAATGAGTCAAGTATAGAGAGATAAGCATGAAATGTGCATTAAGTCTTATGACTTACTCATTTCACCAGGTGTATACCGACTGTAATTAGAACAACAGCAAATGTGGTAAGTGCTTAAAAGCCAAAAGCAACACACAACAGCTGATTGAGCATTATTTTGCGTTGGGAAAAATATTTAATGAGAAAGAAAGCAAACAAATTCACATACAAATAAAATGGCTAGCAAATAACCGGTTGTATGCACGATGTTGCAAATTGCAGTTGCACATTTCTCTGAATTATACGTACTTGTGTGCTACAAATCTATGTATGTATAGGTATGTGCACAAATTTTCCCTCCAATTGAAGTTCATTGAGAGCGCGCTGCTTTGCCGAGGTGCGGCACACCAAACGTGACAATTTTTCCACAAAGAGCTGCTGACACTGGCATTTCATAGCAAAGCATTGATGCTGCACAATTGCCATTAGAGCGCGAACCAATGAATTCACATGCAGCTGAGCAAGTGAGGCCGCATCATGTACATATGTGTGTACATCTGTATACGTACAAGTATGTATGTGCGCCGCAAAGCAAAACCAGAATTTATTCCCATGCTTAAGTGACGTATGATGTTAGGTAGACAGGCGGCGTTTGGTCGGCTAGCCAGCTGTAGCGCCGGCGAAGACAATTGTTAAGGTAAAGCGAAAAACAGAAAAGCAGAAACAGTATAGTATATGTATGTATATACTTGAAGTAAGAAAAAACTTCAAACAGTTGCGTGCGCCGATTGAAGTACGGGCAAGCAGTTTCTTACGCTTTTTGCTGCTTGCCGACAAACGAGCTTTGCAGAAGCGCGTTGCGAAGATCAGCACATGACAAACAAACTAAAACAAAAAATACAAAGGAAACAAACAACAAAAACACTGAAAACGGTAATATTTTTATCGGTTAATATAATAGTAAAGGCGTATTAACAATAAACCCACGCACATACACACGTAGTTATGTGAGTATGTATAACAATTAAGAGCGCTAAAGGAGCGGCGTGTCGAGCCTACTGGGCGTATGAGTTATGCGTCAGCCAGGCAAGCGAGCACACGTGATTATAGCCCCTGTCAGAGTATACGTGTGTCAGTGCGTGTGTGTGACAAACGGTTTTTTTGTTTGGATTACATATTGTTATTGTTTTAGCAGTTGAAGTGCTTTTGAGTTAAGGCCGCAAATGAGTACGACAAACAAAACAAAGGCGAATGTGCATAGACAGCATAACATGGAAGTGGACAATTTATCGATAAAAAATACATACAAATTTAATTATAATAATAAATAAAACATTAAATGCGATGAGTGGGAGAAAATTTATGATAAAAATTTTCACAGGAAAAGCACGTAAAATTTAATTGAATGAATGTCTGTACAACCCTTTTTTAATATTATTTATTTTACTTTTTAACCACAACAACAACAGACAAAAAATTTTATTATACATGCTAAGACAACTGTAAATTGACGGACAATGTGAAGCGGCACAACATACATATGTATATAGATATGTATTTATTTAGAGATTAAGTTTTTGAAGGCAGTACAATAAAATTGTGGTGGTGGTGTAGGTATAACAGACAGCTGTTAACGTAACGCTGTGAAAAGTACATAAATGTTTTGAATTATTAATTTAAAATCGTGTATAGTGATGGAAAATTCACACACAGCGACATAAATGTATACATATGTAATATAAGGTAAATACATGTATATAAATACGTATGTATAATGTAATGCAAATGGTGCGAAAAATTTTCAGTAGCGTGTTTTTTGCACATAAATAACAGTAATCAAAAATGCTAAAAAAACAAAAAAAAATAATACACATAGTTTTAATTAGCTTTCAGCTTGGAGGCATTGTGGAACAGCAACAATTTAATGATATCATTTTATACCCACAGCGCCGCTATTATAGAGGTATTTATAAGATCAAAGTTGTACACATGTGTGTATGTAAAGGGTTTTCCAATAAGAGTGATATGATATAATTAAAAAAAAAACACACACACACTAATTGTTGAGGAAATTCAAATGTTTTTTATTTAGTGTGGAGTTCAAAAGTTACAATTAAGTTCTGAATATAACATCATTCAAATGGCCTCCACAACTTCTTTTGCAGAAATGAATTCGGTGAACCCAATTTTCGAGTACTTTTTCCATTAAATCAAGTCGTATTTCATGAATAGCACGTTCAATATTGACTTCTGAAGCTTGAAGAGAGTCTGGTTTATTGCTAAAGACCAATGATTTCAAATAACCCCACAAGAAGTAGTCTAATAGTGTTAAATCACAACTTCTTGGAGGCCATTCAATGTCACAATTTCTTAAATTTATCGAATCTCCAAACTTTTTTCGCAATAATTCGGTTGTTGCACGTGCTTTGTGGCACGTAGCCCCGTTTTGTAGAAACCAAATCTTGTCAAGGTCAACTTCTTCCAATTGCGGCCATAAATAGCTGGTTAACATCGCTCTATACCGCTTTCCATTGACAGTATCGGTGTCACCAGCTTCATATCGAAAGAAGTACCGATCGATGATTCCACCAGACCAAAAACCACACCAAACTGTCAATATAGGTGAATGTAATGGTTGTTCATAAATTATTTCTTTATTTTCTTCGCACCAGTTTTGCTTATTTACCACTCAGATGAAAGTGAACCTCATCGGAGAAGATGATTTGCTTAATCATGAGTTCAAAGTGAGACATCAAAGTTGTTCCATGGCAAAATCAGCTAATTCACGATGTTTATGGTGGTCCAATGGCTTCAGTGCTTGAGTGAGAATAATTTTATACTTGTCTGGATGCAAGCCCAAGGCCTTCTCAAAATCCGCCAAGTTGTGTTTCGAGACATACCCAACTCCTGAGAACGCCTGAAGGCGGTAGCAATATTTTCATTATGTAAAGAAACTGTACGCTCGAAATTTTCCGTAATTCGACGAATAGCGAGCGCAGATGGACGATTATTACGAGCATAAAATGGCAACAGCGCACGAAAAGTTGCAATTGGAGAACGATTATTTTGATAATAAAATTGAATAATTTGTAAACGTTGTTCTTGCGTATATCTTTTAATGATGAAACTATAAACATTACTGAATACAATGATAAATAAATTGCAGTGCATGACATATTAAAAATGGCCGAAACGTTACTTAGAAATCATATCATTCCTATTGGAAAACCGAATACATCTAAGTGGATAATTATGTTTATTATGTGCACGCATATGTATGTACATATATAAAAGCTTCATTAAATGAACTTGCAGATTTTGCAAGTAAAAGTTAAAAACATAAAAGTGCCTTAAATAGTTCATAAAAAAAAACATTTAAAAAATTAAAAAGAAAACATTTAAATTTAAATATTCTCTCAGAATGTGTATGCTGGATTACAACTTGGTTTAAGTGTTTATGTGCATATGTGCAACCGGTAAGCACTTGAGCATAGACGGCAGCTGATCGAAAATTATTGATTTTGGTTAATGTAAAATGAAGGACAGTAGACTCAAATAGTTGATTACAATACATTTTTACAACACAAAAGAGCATTTAAAGAATTTTTTGGATCAATCAAGGGATACATTTAAAAGGGAAATTTTATCCAAAATTTAAAAATTTTAAAAAATAAATAAACAAAATAAAAATTTTTAAAATTAATAAATTAAACAAAATACAAATATTATAATTCTCTTTCTTTTAAATACATACATATATAAACTGTTAAACTTTCATGCTTCCAAAGATGGCAGAGTTATTTCTTAGATATTATATAATTATAAGGTTTTTTACATTTTATAAACATAACTGTTATTTATAGTAAGATATTCAATTTATGTACAAATCTTTCAATTTCATTCTCAAAAGACACGAACATAAGATAAATTATCTAAACAAAACATTGTTTTTTGTGCTGTTTCAGATAAAGAAAAAAATCATCCCCAATTCTGGATACTTGCTTTATAAAAGTCAGCTTGATACAACGAAGATCGCAGACAGATAAAGGAAGAAATCTATAGTAGGGGATGATTCCACAAATTTTTATTCACAAGGTGATATGGAAACAGTTTCAGTGTTTAAAAGTTGTACATATGTATGTTATGTATATGCTTAAACATATATAGTAAATATATATAGATGTATGTATAAACGTATATAAATTCAAGTATATGCATTTCATTGAAGAAATGTTTAGCAAGCCTCAACCGCTATTTTTAAGAGAAATCAAACAAAATCACTTGCTTGGTACTAACCTAAACCGAAACGTTTCTTGATCTTCTTCAAAATATGCAGCTTTTTGTTGGAAATGCGATGATTTGGGCACTCGACAACGACCACTTGACCACCAGCTCCTGTGCTAGTAGGCATATAGCTATTGGCCTGATTTTCTGACAAACCCATGGCGTTGTGATTTTTTCAATTTATTACTTTGGTGCAGTGAAGACTTGCTTGGAGCAAGTTGCAAAACGATTTGTATTTAAACAAAAATTAATTATTATATTAAATAAACTGTGTGTGTTGTAACGACGTTTTGGTATGCAAGTTACTTTGTGTATAAACACTAAAACAACAAGAGCAACAATAAATGTTGATTATTATCTTATTTTGAGCTTTTATCAGCACATTTTGTTCATTTGTTTGGTTTTCAAAGCCGTTTTCAGTTATAAAATTTAATTATTTTTTTTTTTACATAAAATATTTAACACAATTTTTATATTTTTTAGTTAATATGAAATTTTCTGTCAACTTTGAACTGTTTCACTTTTGTGTTAAAGTTTTTCGGCATTATACGCGTCTCTTAATTAACACTATAAGTTTTTTGTTAACAGTTATTTTGGTCAAAAGTTTCTTACAACAATTTTTTTTTATAATTTTCGTAGCTTTTAATGATGGTTTATGGCATCCTGTTTGAAACTCAAACGGGCCTAAACGGAAGCAATGAATTTTAACTTTATCGACACAAGCAAAATACAAAACTATTTAGCCATTTGCAGCAACAACAATGCGCTTTAGCAGCAGTAAATAGCCTTCTGAGTAAAAGAAGTTGTTAAGTGCGCAAACTAACTAGCGTACATAGCTTATAAGCGCAAGCAACCGAACGAGCATGCAAGCTGCTAGCCAACGACCGAATGTACATTTATGTTGCTGCTTGCGAATCGCGCGAAAGTCGATCTAAACCGTCTGACGTGAGAATATTAACTGAATAACCCCAACGACGTCAACAGTTCCTGTCAAAGAAAGGCCAGGTCAACATTGAGCGGAGGCAACAGCTGAAGACTATATATCGCACTCATGCAACCACTCGCTCACACACTCACTCAATCAGCCGCACTTTGCACTCGAGCACTTGAGTGCTTTGCTCACAACTTGGGCCGGGAAAGTAAGCAGACAGGCGATAAGCAGTAGATAAACAAATGTGCGACGACGAGTTGCCGAGTAGAATTTTAAATATATGAGCGATAAACACACATACATACACACGTAAATATAACCGCGTTGTTTGTATTTGTAAACTATCAGCGCGCTTGCACAGGCAACTTTGTGGCCAAACGCCCGAATGACTAACTGCTGCTGGCTTCTTGGCTATCGCTTGTTATTTGTGTGCGTGTGTATGCGCAGGCAGGCAGTCAGGCAAACCTGGTTGGGGCAACAACAATACAATGCACGTAGTGTTTTTTTTTGGTTGTTTGTTGATGGCGTCTCCATACGCTGGTAGAATTGCAGCTGTTTCGTTATTTTTACACATTTTCCGTTTATTCTGCATTCGCGCTGCGCGTCGACTCAAATCACTCAAGCTGTTTCTTGGCTTACGTTTTATTTTTGTTGTTGTTTACGGGCATATGTACTCACATCGAAGTTGCACACACAGTACAACTATCTGCCTTAGATTTGCGGTTGTTGTTGTTTTATGCCATCATGTGTTGCCTGTGCTCGCGTTTGGTGGTTAGTAGATGTTGGTGTTGGCGTTGCCGATGCTTGTATTAGTGATGTTGGTGTTGGTGGACTCTTTTGTTTTCTCGCCCAACCGTAACCGCGATGTGCACCGGTGCAAAAATTCAATTGCGAATAATTTCGTTTCGATTGAGCGCGCATTTGTGCTCAAAGAGAAGAAAAATGGAATTTAAAAAAAAAGTCAGCCTCCAAATTGTATATTTTTCAATTTGACGCTTTTTATTTATCCGCTTTAGTTTCTTTATGAGTTGTTCTCATAAATAAATAATTGAAGGTGGAATACTCTGGCAAATGGAAAAATTATTTTGCAAGGATGAGTATTATTACTTTTATTGGAATTGGAGTGTAGCAATTTTGGGTAATTTCCGTATTAAGTGTAAAAAATTCAAATTGCTGATAGAAATATGCATATTGCTTAAGGTTGCTCAAAATAAAGTTATTTACTCGGGAGGAAAATGAGTAAGTTGTAAGTTGTCTTAAGTAATTGTGTGCACCGTTGTATGCAGCGCTGTTATACCTAAATTACATATACATACATACATACATACATATATATGTACTATATAGTCCTTAGTTGTGTTTAGCAGTGTAATCAATTTATTCACTAATAAATTTCAATTTTATTGGTTAGAAAAAATATATTTAATTACAGACAATAATTTATTAAATATTAAAAAAACATTTTCTTATATTATATTAATTGAATATTAAATCGACAAAATATATAAAAGTTACATTATCTCCCAAAACGCTATTTTTTAGGAAGTTATTAAAATATTTAAATTTTCATTATAACGTTTTATTTGTAGTTGTATTTTTATGAGACCCAAATAGAGAACCCGATTTTAAAAATATCAAGCGTATTTCATTTGAAAACATTTTTACTAAATTGTATTTAAAAATTCTCTCTAGTTTACCCTTTCCACTAAGAAATTACAAAGTAATAACGAATATACAAATATGTTATATGATTTTAAGGGATGCAGTGACGTTTCTTAAATAAAAATAAAACTAGTACAAACTGTTGTGTCGTTGTCCTTTGGCTCTACAGTAATACATACAAGTACATAAAACATTCACAGGAAGAAATCTGAGCAGATGTTTAAAGATTTTGTGGGAGTAGGTAGACAAAAGCGGCATAATACAACAACACCAAAAAAATCATGCCAGCAAGTAAAAATATAGACTTAACACATAGTGCTTGTATATTGCAGGACTTCAGGCAATAAGAAACGAAGAACGAACGAGGTAAAGGAGCATACTACACGTGTACTACACGCGCAACAACAACGCAGTAAGTAGTTTACCAGAATTTTATATTTATAACCTGTATTATTTCTTGAAAAGTTCTTTTTATTAGTAAAAACTTGAAATGCCCTATAAAAAAATCATATTTAAAAATTCGCTTTAACTGACAGTATGGTAGAAAAGAACAAAGAAGATTTTCATACAAAGATCACACCAATAAATATATATAAATTTTGAATATGTAAAACTGTAGCACTAGTCAAAAACATATCAAAAGTTTTTTTTTGTGGACTATCAAGAAAAAGTAATAGCGTTTTCTTTTCTCGAAGAAAATATTGCCCACTATATGGCAACAATACCATATATAAAAATTCAATTTTTTTTAAGACCAAAGAACAAAAAAATGCCAATCAACTCATTATTTGCAATATTTATTATTGAGCTTAACAAAACTGATCGATTCATTATAATTAGTACAATAGAAAAACTGGTTTTAAAAAAAATAACTATCAAAAACGAAAAATGAACATCGCCTGGGCCACTCTCATCCTTACGTTTTGAGAAGGGCAGAAAACGTTGCACTTTTTTCAGGTTACAAGGCAACATTCTAATGCTGGAAACAGTCATCGACGCGAAACCGTAGGCCGAATATCAGCTGACCTATCTTATGAGACTGTCCGCTTCTACAGACCATACGGTAGGATATCTGCGAAAATTGGATGTTGCCAGTCTCGATATTTTGTACTAATTAAAAAATAAACTTGAATATTTTTGAAATATGCTTAAACTTACTCAAAATAAAAGTCGAATACATTTACATATAATAGATATACTACTTTTAATAGTTGGATTTTCAGTTTTGAGCTTTTAAGAAAAATCTAACTGTAATTGTCGAGACAAAAAACAATTTGACCTATAAAAATGGTATTAATTGTTAAAAGATGCTATAAACGCTGTATCGCTTTCGACCGCATTCTAATAACTAAATATAAAATATTAAAATGCAATAATGCATAATAATAACTAAATTATTTTCTACACTAATCTTTTGAGGACCAACGTAAAGATCAAGCCGCCGATCGATTTCACCAGCAGCTTTTGTACGATGGCGGAGCGCAAAAGAGATCACTATTGTTGACAAAACGTTTTTAAAATTCAAGCTAATATCATGCAACATTAAAAATTCTGTTATATAGTGTAATTATTTATAACACACACTTCAAGTATTTAAACACAAAAAGATTCGACACACTTCAAATTGCAGCCAAAAATCGTTTACGCGTGCGTTTATAGGAAATATAGCAGTACATACATACATCTGTTCTCTTATCAAAAGTCAAACAAACGCCGACAGCAAGCTGATATTTTCCTAAGCGATGAGCTGAGCAATCAATATTTAAACTCTTTATTTCAAAAGAGTTTTGTCATTATTTGACTACGTTTTTTTGTTTTCGGTGTGTGCTTGTGGTGATAAATTTACACCTGGAATTTGCAAATACTCGAAAAAAAGAGTAAATAAAAGCATTTAAAGGAATTGACACGATCACAAGCAACGTTTACACGCAGCACCAGCAAGCGCATTAAGGCAAACCAGCGACAAGCTGACAGACGGTCGTGCCCGCAAACAGACTGCCAGAATGAAATGCCGGTTTTGATGGGGGTAAGAAGCGGCCAATTGCACGACATTCACTACAATGCTGCGTTGTGGCACGCAAATGAGAAATGAATGCCACATGCCAAGCGAAGTCACAGCGCAAACACACACACACAAACAATGCAGCAAGTTGTACGCCTTGTTTTGCTACCCTTTCCGGGCACCGTGACTGCTCTAAAGGTGGTCGTGTGCGAGCCTGAAGTACTTTTGTTGACAACATTTTCATGAACACATCAGCACATACACATACATATGTACATGCAAACATATGAATAGGTGTAGTTAATACTTTATTTGCACAACAGCTGACGCTGCATCCATCCCCAATTTGCCAACTAGCGATCGTCATCGTCATCTTCATCAACATCATCATCGCCGTCATCTTTGGCGGTAGCAACACATGTGCACACACTCGTGCGTACAACGAAGCAGCCGAGGTGCAGCGGAGACACATGCTTTTTTCTTGCAATTTCTGTTCGTTTTCGTTTTTGCATCTTTGATATTAAAAGTTTAAATGGTTTCCATTAAATGAACGCTTGTGTATGTGTAAGGCTAGTTGCCATTTTTTGTGCTGTGCAAAACGTCATGCAGGAAGGAAGGACAGACAGGACGGAAGGAAGGCAGGAAAAACAGCTGCAATCTGCATTTGCTAGTAATTATAGCAACCCCCAGCAGCAGCCGCCGCTACAGGAACTAGTAGGAGCATTGCGAGCGGACACGCGGACCAACGGACAGACAGAAAATATTTGCAGTTGCCAGCGTCTGCAAATTAATTACAATAAAAAGTGGTATGCGTACGTTAAATGAAATGGGTCTATTTTGAAAGTTTTAATTAGCATGGATACATACTAACCTTCTATCAGATATAAAACATTTTATCTGGGTGTGCTAAAATGTTAGAAAATAATAAGTACTTTAACTTACAGCTTGATTGCAAGAAAGAAGTTACTATCTCGTAGATGGTTACTGTCTAAATTTTAGCAGAATCGATTCTTACTTTTGAAATAGAGATACCGTTGTTGTTGTTGTTGTTGTTGCGATTAACAGCCCTTGGCCGAATAAAAATCCGGTTCCGTTCCGGTTACATAGACCCGACTGTCGTGTTAACGGGACATCTCTCCTTCTTCTTCTTCGATGCCGAAGAAATCATTAAAAATTGGTTTATAAAGTTTCAAGCTAATGCAGTTTGGTTTTGTTCAGCCTGGTGTCTCGAAGACGGCCACCACATAGAAAAACTTGACAATAATCCACGATCAGACCCCCCGATTGAAATTGTGGCATCTCAAAAGATCACGTGGACCATATCCGGTAATAAATATTGGGCATGAAAAAGCTGTCACCGCTGCT